AACGCATTGTAAATGTTGTTGGACCTGGACTATCTGCTAAGCTTGAACCTCTTTCCCATCGTCGTAAATTTGCATCTCTTTCTCTTTTCTACAGATACTATCATGGTCACTGCTCAAAGGAGTTATCATCTCTAGTTCCATCAACTAAAATTCATTCTCGTTTTACTCGTCATTCAGCTAAGTCTCATTCGTTTACTGTATCTGTCCCAGCATGCTCTAAAAACTTTTATTCATCTAGTTTTTTTCCCCGCACTTCAATCCTTTGGAACTCTCTCCCATCTTCATGTTTTCCTGACTCCTACAACCTTCAACTTTTCAAGTCTTCTGTCAACCGTTTCCTTGCTCTATAACTCTGTTCTTTTTTTTCCTAGTAATCCCAACTTAATAGTGGTTGCTTGCAGCCTTGTTGGGAGTGAATGCAAATTAAAAAAAAAAAAAAAAATGTACTAATCCCATGGGTCTAGCATGGTATAAATAGAATTAAGTAATTAAGAAGATATTTTTGTTGTGAACTATTTCCTTTGTCATACATACTACTATATGTTTTATATCATACATACATGCATGCATATATAGGCAACTTCATCGCTATTTATTGGTCATATTGATTTTAATAATGTCTCATTTTTAGATTGATCGTTTAAAATTTTGTATAAAAATAAAAGTAACTTTGCGTTAACAGAAAACTAATAAAATCCAGGTACGTTACGTAATGTAAACAAGAAGCATTTAAGCAGTAAGAAGGAGAAGACACAATAAGAAAAGAAGAGAAGCTTGAATAGCAGAAAACTTTTTTTTCGTAAAAAAAAGTTTTACGAAAAAGTTTGATTTTTTTTTATATTAACACGGCAATGGCTAAATTGAGTGTTTTACATTAAAAAGTAATTGGTATAGAAGTAAAATTCAAATTCCTCGATAAATTTTTCATAAGAATCAATAAAAATTTATTTTTTGAGAAAATATCAAAAAGGAGGATCTTATTTCTTAAAAAAGGGGATCTACCACCTTAAATCAAATTAGTTATCGTTACTTACGGGGACAATTCTACGCTTTTATCAAGATGTAGTTTAATTACCATTTATATAGAAAGTATGACGTATGACTTTAATTTAAAATTTAAAACAAAAAAATAAAACAAATATCATTATTGATCAAAATTAAAAATTTTTAAACTAAACTTATAAATTAAATGATGCCTTGCTTTTTGTTTGAATTTATTTATTCATTTTATCGAAATAACTCACTTGAGCGTGGAATTGCCCATATACGTTTTCTTTTATAATCATCGTCAAATTTGCACTTACATACACGACTTACCAATTTCGTTTTATTTTCTTTTTTTTGTTTGTTTTTATTTATAATTTTGAGGGGATAGGGCAGGGGGTTTCACCCCCTATTTCAAGTGCCTCACCGTTAAAAAATATTTGTTTTGCATCTCTGCGCGCGCATAAATTTTTATCGGAACTGAGGAAAAGTTTTCAATTTCTGCTAAAAATTCAAAAAGCGCTAATTGGATTGGACTTGAGAATTCTTTAAAAAAATAAGGTTTCTTGGAAAAACACCAGAGAACATCGCAAACGTCAATAAGTTACGTGACAGACTTATTTATATTAAATATTTTGTTCTACACGTTTAATCGAGTTTTAGAATTTTTATTTTTTTGAATTATTAAATGAAAAATATTTTAAAATTGTACAGTTGTAATATAGAATTCTAAAATTCTACTAATATTAATAATATAATATTATTAAGAGTTTGAAGTTAAAGAAAAGATCTGTATTTGAAAAAAATGTTCTTGACAATAATTTAACAAATCAATTTAATAAAAATAATTTAAGTCAGTGCAATGGATATTATTCTGAACTCTTCATTATTATTATCAAATGGAATCAAAATGCAAAAAAAATCATTTCAAAGTTACTTACAAATGTAAATAAAAGTTTCAACAAACTAATTTAAGTGAACATTTTTAAATTGACAACCCGTTTACTTGTCAAAGAGAATCCTTTTCATATCATGTAGGTACGTACATAAAAATTTTAAACCGTTTATATATAAGACTATTATATATCATTGGAAAGAGCTTTAAATTAATATTAAAATGGCGAAAATTTCATAGAAAAAGAATGATTCTATAAAAAGTTATGCAAGTTTAAGTATCAAAATTTAACAACAAAGATTACTTAAGAAAACTGCGACCAACATTAAAATTTCACGTTCGGCTAACGGTAGTTTTGTAATAGAACATTTTTGCAAACTCGCGCAGTATTTTTTTCTCGGGTTTGAATTTTTATTGAATAAAGTGTCAAAGTAGCGAATATAATAATTTAGTTAATCAAAATATTTCTTATGTAAAAAAAAAAAAAAATCAAATTAATTTCCTTAGGTATATAACAAATTTTGCGAACATCATATAAAAACGATTATAATAATATTGCGTACATTTTAAAGACAAAAATATTTAACAGTAAAACGCTTCTTCTTATCAAGTATAAAATTTATAGAATATAGGAAAAAACGAGTTGCTGAACTATCTGATGTTTTTTTCTGTCCCTATTTTAATGTCTATATTTTTACTCCGTTTCACAAAAATTTTTAATTACACTCTTATAAAACAACATGTTTAAAAAGAAACAAACGTGTATTTTTTTGGAAGGGCCTTAAATAATAGTGGAACTAGTCCAATTGCAAAAAGATTCATTAACGAATTTTTTTTTATCTCTCATTAAAATTTATTAAAAATACATAAGAGGATACAGAAAACGGGTCACGGTTCCTAGTTATAGCAAATAAGTTAGCTCTATTGGTTTGATTTTATCTTAAAGTTTAATTTTATTCTGTAAATAATATATCAGTACGAAGTAACAATTTAAAAGAGAAAAAATATTAACATAACTAAAGTCTATTTAACAGAGATGACATTTGCTTAACATTTCTTCCAGTATTTTTTGAGGCTGTAAAATTAATAAAATTTTTAATTTATTAATATTTTAAAGGCCTCACATTTTCCTTATAAAGCATAAGGAAGATATAGAAACGGGTCACGGATCCTTGTTTTGTCAAATAAGTTAGCTCTATTTGTTTGACATTTCTTAAAGCAACTTTTCTGCAACAAATTCTCAACTAATTCTTTCAAGTTATTTTTAACACCAGTTTTAGCAAATTATTAAACTAATATAGCTATGATTTGTACCGAAAATCTCGATCCGTATTTACCAAGATAATAAAAGTATAAACGGTCTCTATTCATATATAAAAACATAACGAAAATATAAAGAAAAACAAAGCAAAACGAACAATGTATGTAATACAACACTATAATTTCAATGAGAAAAAATTTACAAATTTATGTGAGAAGCAAAACACATTTTTCTTGAGATAAAAAAAAAAAATTTACGTTAAAAAAAAAAAAAAAAATTTTAAATATTATTATTTAAAAATTGAATCCTTGGCTTTTAGTGAATGATTATATATAATCAGTTTCAGTAATGAAACAATCCAATAATCATTTTTAACGATAGACACCGACGTGAAGATAAGCCAAGTCGTCTATCAACACAAAACATCACAACAATAACATCACACGATTAACAAATAGCACAAAACGTTACAGTAAACACTCAATAACTGAAACCACCAAGGGACCAAGAAATTAGCTTATTAGAAAATATTTAGGATTATTGAAAGCATATTCCATAAACAATTGGATCAATTGAAATTTCAAAATTAATTCAAGTTATTAAGGGTTATTGAGTTATCCAGATTTTATAGAATTTTTTTTATTTACTAACAGCATAACATACTTATAAGTACACATTTTGTGATTACAAACAGACTTTATTATGTGTTTCATGACAGTACACCGCTTGGCTAGCAAGGACAACACTCTTGCCATAAACAAAGCCAAGTCACATTATTTAAAGTACACCGCTTGGCTAGCAAGGACAACACTCTTGCCATAAACAAAGCCAAGTCACAATATTCAAAGTACACCGCTTGGCTAGCAAGGACAACACCCTTGCTGTAAACAAAGCCAAGTCACACCACTTTGAAACCATGGAAACAACATAATAAATACTTTTAAACTATAAAAGCATAACATTATAACACATAATACACTTCATATAATACAGTGATTTACACATTTATTAAACATAAATACTTACAAAATATATACAAAATATAACCTTAACACATATATAAACACATAATAAAAAACACACAATACCATATTAAATAACACATAAAGCATAATATTATTATCATAATTTATCATAATTAAATTATCATACTTATCATAAGGTTGTTACCATAATTTGCTTATGATAAATCACTGCAGACATCAAATCACCGCTTATGATGTCTGCAGATAATTGATATTTGCTCATATCATATTCAACAGCATCATCATCCTCATTTTCATTTGGTTTCCAATAAAAAACTATATATAAAGCATTATTTTTTTTTAATGCTAAGAAGCCTGCCATAGTACATATCCTGGCTTTTAGTGTCAGCATCATACCACATGTGGCATATACTTCTTCCAACAGCATCTCCATTGAGAATGTCATCAATATCTGCAGCTTCATTATTTTCTAGATCTGGGAAGAGTTGTTTTACCTGTAGAGGTACGCATTTTTTAAATATTTTTTCCACTTTTCTTCTTTCTTTCTCCTCCTTATTTTGAATCTTTTTAGCCATGCGTTTAATCAATTCTGCCTTCATTTCTTCATGGCATTGCATGTTTGCTAAGCGCTTTTTACCGGCTGAAGAAATAGACCAGGCTATCAATTTATTTCGTTTATCAGTAGGTTTTTCAGAAAGAAAATCAGCTGTCTTATTCTTGCATGCGCGAATTTTCGAAGAAAAATAACAAAGTGTGGCATTAGGAGCTTTTTGCTTTGCAGCACTAAACATACCCACAAGTTCTTCACAGTCAATATTATGTGGGCGTGCTGATAATGTCCGGGACTTGAGTTGGTCAGTTAAAGTCATAGTAAACTGTCGCTCATACTGACGGTTAATGACAGCATTAACTAATGACAGCATTTAGACAGCTGGCTAATGCATCTCTCATTTCATCAGTCCTTGGGCAAAAGCCTATGAGTGATTGAAAAACTGGATCATTGAGATCACCTCCAAAAAAATCTGTTTTTCGGTGAATAAGGGAAAGAGCTTCTGCGCTGCTTTCAACAAGTGCATTGCAAACATTTTTGATCACTTGGATGCCAGACAAATAGTCAAGTCTTTGTCCTGGCGCCACATAGAATTTTTTCATCCAGGGACCAGTCACTAACTTTCCAATTAAACCTAGGGCACACATCTCGCGTATACCTAAAATTAAATAAAATATACTATAAAAAAATAAGAACCAAACATTTTGATTATTAATCTATCATAACATCTAACCTGTATCAGATGTGAAGTCTTGGAAAAGACTATTTCTCAGTCCTCCACATAACACTACTCCAGAAAACAGAAAACTCTGAAGTTTCTGGTAGTGATGTATTAAAGTTCCACATGTATGAAAAAGTATGTGCAATCGATTTCCCCTATAGCATGGTATAAGTCCTCTAGGAAGACCATGCTTGTCCAAAAAGGTGACAAAGCCTTTTGGATCACCTTTAAAAATAAAATTATAACCAAAAGTGCAATGCAAAAAACTTATTTTAAGCAAGTATGTTAACAAAACACATTAAGTTCAGATTTAAATTCAAAATAACAACTTGAAATAAAATAAATTTAAAATATTAAGATGACATTATTATAGTAAAAATATGATAAGAATTTATCATATTTATTTACCTTTACCATCCTTGTAACGGAGTTTATTTAACTGAACAACAATGTTTGCTGCAAAACAATCTCTACCAAAAAGTTTCCCTTTTGAAGTTTCCAAAGCTTTAAGCGATGACTTGCAAGCAGAAGTAATTGTATCCAATGGGTGAAGGTGACAGTTCAGTTCATTTAGAGATTTTTGCCAAAAAGTGTTTAACTTTGTTATAGTTGCATGGTTCACTGCCACTCTGTCGCTCATTGTGTTTGTTATGTTGCTGATAATCGTGCTTCGTACATCAGTATATTGTTTCCGGTAAAAGTCACTATACAACTTAGCAAGATTATCCACAGATTTTGTAATATGACTCATATAGTCATAAGATGTACCACCAGCAAGCTGGTCAATGGCTACAACCATGCACGAAGATTCATTTGTTAAGTGCACAACATTGACATGAACACCCTCCTGGGTTGTGGCATCAAAACCAAGAGTCAAATTTTTTGTTGAGAATGCTATCTCAGCAGCCTGGAGTTCTGAAATAATACCCAGCTCGCGCATCATCTGCTCCACAGTTTTGCGATGTGGAATGTCACTAAATCTATACCCAAAGTGTTCTCCTACTTTATGAAGAAGTTGGGGCACACTGTGTGTAGGAACTTGACATGCTAGCATGTCATAGATAAGTGCCCTAATATCAGATGAGTAGACTTTTTTACATCTGGTGCTTTGTACTTTCTGCTGCATTTGCTCTATCTTTTCCTGTAAAATAAGCATATCATTTTGCAGGTCATTAATCTCTACATTCTTGTCAGCAAGTTGTTGACGTAAGATAACTTCTTCATTAGACAGCTTTGTTTGGGTGAATTTCAGTTCTTTTTTCAAACGAAAATTTGAAATTTGAAGCTTATTCAGCTGTAAGTTTAGACGTTGAACTTTTAATTTATTCCGCAAACTTCGAATTGTCTTTTCTTTGCAAGCAATAGTCTCATTGAGATGTTTAAATCTTGGCCTTGTTTTAATTTTTTCTTCTAACACCTTTACATCCTCTCTATGCTTTCGTTTTTCGGTAGCAATTTCAGTAGCAAAAACACTTAATCTATGTTTGAGGAGTTTTTTTCTTGGAGTCAACTGGTCAGCTCTTAACCTGGATAACAAAGGACTTTTTTTATTAGGTGAAGACAAAATACTTTAATGTTTAGGAGATGAGGCAACTGACAAATACGAAACAGTTTTACTTGAACTTGGACTTGACTGAAATGAATCTGTTGCTGGAAATGTTGCTGCTTGACAAATAAAAGGCTCGTTGCAGAAGTCAACAAAATGTTTTGAATCTCTTAAAAAATTGCAAGCCCATTTTTTTGATACATTAACAAGAAGTTTAGTATGACTGTAACAAATATTGAAGCCATAAAGTTTATTGACCTGCTCAATAGTTAATTGATGTGATTCATTATTGCTAACGAATACAAACAGAATATGCCCATTTTTACAATTGTTGTCTACTTGCAAAGACAATGCAAAGTTTGATTCTATATAGTTTTTCGCTGCACCACGAAACACACACATATTCTTTTTGGGACCCATAATACCATATAATGTCACGTTGAGTTATTTCTTAAATGAAAAAAAGAACATCCAGAGAAAATTAGTTACTTGCTTCTTTTTTAAGCAAAAAAATTTAATTGATATCATTTGTATGCAATAAATTTCAATTTTGTTCAATCATGAGTTAACTTTACCAATGACTTAAAATAATTTATTATGATAACAATTATAAGCTTTATAACCATATGGTTATCATCTGGTGATTTATCATCTATAATTTATCAATTATGTGTGCTAGAAGGTTAATAACACAACTGCATGGTAGGCAGCTGAATATCTTTTAAAGATAAACTATTATTAATTAGTTTTTCAAATAGATATCACAAATTTTCAAATGCTGCATGAACTAGGTTAGCCTTAGATAGGATGCACCAAAAGTACATATATATATATATATATAAATATATATATATATATATATAAATATATATATATATATATATATATATATATATATATATATATATATATATATATATAAATTTGTATATATATATATTTGTATATATATATATATATATATATATATATATATATATATATATATATATATATATATATATATATGTGTGTGTGTGCGTGTGTGTGTATAAGTATGTGTGTATGTATAAGTGTATTTGTGTGTATGTATATTTGATATTCTGTGTATGTGTATGTATACATATGTATGTATGTGTGTTTTTGTATATACATGTGTATAATGCACATGCAATGTATGTGTATGGTTATATATGTAGGTATGTGTATACATGCGTTTTATATAACAATAACAAAAGATTCTGACATACTTAAATAAAATTAATAAAAAAATCATTAAAAATGAAATTGTTAAAAATATATAAAAATACTTAAATTTAAAAAAAATTTAATATATTAAATACATTAAATAATACATTAAATTTAATCTATAAAGTAAAAATACATTTAAACAAAAATTAAAAAATTTAATATATATATATATATATATATATATATATATATATATATATATATATATATATATATATATATATATATATACACTGTGTCAAAAAAGTTTTCATCCACCTATCCTGTACATCTTTCAGACGTGATAACTTTACATTCAGCAAAGATATAAGCATAATTTCAACTTAATTATATCAGTTAACCATTCAAGAAGTATTGTATAAAAAGATTTTACAAAATAATGAATAGAAATTAAAATACAACATTTAAACATAAACAATGCCTGTTTTTGCGCCAAAAAAGTTTTCATCCACCCTGCACTCCAACCTCAATTTGTTATTAAATCAGTATTAAAGTATCATTTTTAAAATATAAATTAGATTTAGTAAGATTTTTGTATTTTTTTTTTTTTATATGAGTTTTTCATATTTTTTATTTTTGTTAGATTATTAATAAAAATGAGAGTTGCAGAGGAAATTAGATTGCTTATTGTTAGACTATGGAAAGAGGGAAAATCACAGCGAAATATAGGAAAAATAGTAAAGAAATCACGTGCAACTGTGCAGTCTATTATTAAGAAATACCAAACCACCAAAAAAATTGCTGATAAGCCACGTACAGGGCGTCCAAATAAAATTCAAGTATTGCATCGACGAGCTATATTAAGAACAGTCATCCAGAATCCTAAAATAAGTGCTCCAAAACTCGCTGGAATGCTGCAAAATGATTACAATTTAAAAGTGGACCCTGAAACTGTTAGAATAACCTTAAGAAGAGCTGGATACAATGGTAGAGTACCATTAAAAAAGCCCTATATCAGCAAAGTCAACAAAGCCAAACGACTACACTTTGCAAAACTTTATATCAATGAACCACAAACATTCTGGGAATCGGTCCTTTTCAGCGATGAATCAAAATTTAATGTGTTTTCATCAGATGGAAGAGTTAAAGTTTGGAGAAAACCAAATGAAGCATTTGAAAAACAAAACTTGTGTCCAACGGTGAAGCATGGCGGAGGAAGTGTTTTAGTGTGGGGGTGTATGAGTGCTTCAGGTGTAGGAAACTTGGTTTTCATTGATGGAAATATGGATCAAAATGTGTATTTAAACATTCTAAAAAATAATCTGGAAGAAAGTGCCCACAACTTGGGACTTACTAGGTCATTTACTTTTCAGCAAGATAACGATCCAAAACATACTGCCAAACGTGTCAAGGAATGGCTTATATTTAAAATAGCTAAGCAACTTCATACACCCCCACAATCTCCAGATTTGAATCCTATTGAACATCTGTGGGATGAATTGGGTAGAAGAATTAGGACCCACGATGTGAGGAATCAACAACAACTCCAATTAGTAATTATGAAAGAGTGGGGCTTAATCACTCCAGAAATTACTAAAAAATTAGTTTGTTCAATGAAAAACAGACTACACGAAATAATAAAAAGCTCGTGGTGGAAACACAAGTTATTAAAACACTAATAAATTGAGTTCGTATGACAATTTTATTTGATTTTTGTAAAGTGGATGAAAACTTTTTTGAGACAAAGATGTCTATCTTTTATTCAAAAATGCTGTATTTTATTTGTAACTCATTACTTTAAAAAACTTTTTTTGTACAATATTTCTTAAATGTTTAAATGATATAATTTAGTTTATGTCATGCTTGCATCTTTGCTGAATAAAAAGT